TATATATATATACATACATACATTATAACATACATACTTATATGTACTGTTGGGTCAAATTTGTGTGGTGGTTGAAAATTGGTAACATTGGTAATGTAATTCGACAAGCGAATTACAGTAACATTTTTATCAAATTTCGTAGGCATATAATATTAAGTATGTATATATGTTATAATTCATATATGTATGTATACATACCGTACATATATATAGGCCTATATAAGTGTATATGTAAGTATGTGTATATATGTATATATATATATAAGTATGTATATATATATAAGTATGTATATATGTGTATATATATATGTATATATGTAGATATATAATTATGTATATATGCATGTATATATATATATATATAAGTGTGTATATATGTATATATATTATGTATATATGTGTGTGTATATATATAGGTATGTATGTGTATATGAATAAGTATGTATATATATATAAGTATGTATATATGTTATAATGCATATATGTATGTATATATATAATATATACCGTATATATATATACACATACATATATACATTATAACATATATACATACTTATATATATGTATATATGTATGTATTTATACCCTCGCATCGCAGTAATACTGAACTAGGCCTAGCTTAGGCCTCATGTTTTTGTGGAAAGCTAGATAGTCGTTATGTACCCGACAGTCGGCTGCCTTTATATTTTCACCTGTTTTCAGTTTGCATATACACATCTCAGAGCCAACTGTCGGGGATATAGTACTGTACCTTCATATGACTACTCATACGTATACAACAGAAAAAAACGTCGCATGGACTTAGTGAAAAATGGAGATCTAAATGAAAAAACGTTGCATTTCAGCAACAGTTTACTTTTATTTTAGGCCTTCTTCAAAATACCTATGCCTACAGCAGTTGATTTTTTTGCCGTAAAACCAAAATAGTTTCATCCATGCCGACTTTCCGGTCGGTTAGCGTGAGCCCTGACTGAACTCTGCAGAAACTTCTCATCGATCTTCGCATCGCGATGTAAAACAAAATGTCGGAAAACTTTTCTTTGACGCATGCGCATTTGCATAAATGTCTACACACACACACACACTACACACAATAAAAAACATAGGAAATAGCAAAAGTGATTACAATAGTTCCTATTGCATTACATGCATAGGAACTAATAATTAAAAAGCGCGGCGGCAAAGAAATAGCAGCAGAATGAGCTGCTCCGCGTATTTGTATTAAAATTGATAGAACATCCGCCCTCCCGCGAATGGGGTAAAATTTGACCATTTTACTAAGTGGAGAAACTACAGAAAACAAACGAACCAGAGCGGCGCTTTATTGCTGTTTATTATTTCTATATAGCGCCGCCGCGCGGACGGGGTAAAATTGCTCTCCATGTACCCATAATGCCTTTGGAACGGATGTTCCACTATATTGGGAAGCTGCTCTATCTTCTGCTATTTATTATCTTTGGCGGCGGTTAGAAAAAAAAAAGTTCAATGTTGCACACGCAATAAGAGCGACACATATTCAACCATTTGCGGTACATGTCTCATCTTTAATAAGCAACAATTGAGAGGTGACTGACATACCTTTTAATAAATCATATGAGTAGAAAAATTTAATCAATAGAAAGGCATTGACCTAAACTAAATATGAGATTTTTCAAAATACTGTAAAATTGTAAACTATACAAAATGGCATTAAATTTTTAGCAAAGCTACCCTTTCAATGAATGATTTATTTACAAAAATTACTAAATGAAGACTTACTAATTAATCTCCAGTATGCATGGGTTATCTATTGATTATCTCATCAACGGTTTTGCAGGTCGTTAAAAAAACGGAATTGATGATCAGAAGTAATTAATGTACTTCATATATGCTTAACTTTGAGATCAATAATTTTTTAATTATTGTCATCTGGAATAATTATTAGAGAATGATTCCTGATAATGAAGTACTAAAATTGAGGATCATAATGGCATCTTATACTTAGAGTTTATTCCAAATTAGGTTCTCTTTATCTTATTTCTCATAGCACTGTGAATTTTCTTTGACAAAAAAAAAACTGCTGTATGCCTATATATATATCCCAAGATTACAATTCTCAAAATATTTATAAGTATAAGTATTTATAAGTATTTATTACTATAATCCTAATGTAATTTACTAACCAAGGTAAGAGCCGTACTTTAAAGGCTATATGTGCTAACTTTAACGTTTGCCTTATCATCTGGTAATTTCAAAACAAACCATAAAATATAATTTTTATTTATTTACTAATTATTAAAATATAGAATAAGTATTAGAATGTCAGTAATATTAATGAGCTAACAATTTTTAAAAAAATCAAAAATATGATAATAAACCATCAAAATATATTCAACAAATATTCTCTTGTTTTTATATTCTGTGTGGATTTTTTAGAGAAAAAAATAAGTTATGGTTGCTTCCATGAATATAATTAATCACATGATCAATCAATGTTACCGATTTTAGCTAGCAAATGTGATTGTAAATCATGTCTCTATGGTTTGAATATCTGCCTGAGGCTTAGTACATTGCTGTGGATCGTAACTAATACTACTGAAGCTTCGGCACAGTGTGATATTATTAAAGAACTCCTTACCATCATTGAGTTTAATCACCATCGATATTACGACCCTACAGAAATTAATAAACTATGCCATTATAAAAATAATTACATCTTATGTAATGCTGAGGTTTCTTGATGTTATTTGCTAGATTTCTTTCAGAAACTTTGGTAACATAGATTTTATGAGTGCTTGACAGTCCATTCCTTAAGGCAGCAATCATTTCCAGAAGTCACAACTGTGTTGTCATCTAACCATGCCACATCAGTGATGGGGCCTGATCCATGCGCTCCTGAAAAATGACAAAGAAATGCAGGGGGGGATAATTGGCAATAAAACTCATTCTAATTAACTCTCATCATGCATTATAAAAAAAACCAAGAAAATAAAAAAATTAGCTGTTAAAAAAAATGAAAAATAATTAAGATAGTAGTAAAGTTGTCAAGCTGTAAGGCAAGAGCAACGCTAACAACAGTCTTAACAACAGCACTGGTTTGAGCTGCTCCTTGTTGAGGGTTTGATTGGTAGAACTCTTCTTGTAAAGGACTTAAATTGGAGGTCGAATGTTCACATTTAGCTTGTGTGCACTTTAAAGAACTCGTTAATTTTCATAAAAATAGGTTAGCCCAAAGGTATGGTTCATATTCATTGTGGAATGATGAAGCTACTATAAGCACCTCTTTACGGCGGTTAGGTTGTCATAGACCATGCCCATACGCAATCCAACACAATGACAAAGCGAGTTATGGGTCTAGGCGACACTTTTTGAAAGATGAGAAACAGAATTTTGTGGGTGACCGCCATTTGCAATAGGTTCTAGCCTTTGCGCAACCCAATATCATTGTTCCTCATCTGAACAGTTGAGAGTCTCTAGCTATTTTGTGGGGCCTGCTGTCACAAACACTTTTAAACACAAACGGCAACCCCAATATATTTTCTCAAGGGTTAATATAATATCTTTTTAAACACTTTAAAATAGTTTCTAGTAAGTTGACACATGGGTTAATGTATCAGAAACCCTCGGCCCAAAATGGCCGCTTTCCAATAATTTATCGGATCATAGGTGCTGCGGAAACAGCCTAAAACAGATATTGGTAATGGTTTTTTTCTTTGTATATTTCCTGTTGCAAAGAAGTGAGGTCATGACAAAACTGACACTTACTTTTAAAGAAAATAAAATTTGTTTCTTTTTCAATACTCCATATCCTTATATGGGTGTCCAAGCTCACAGTGGCCAAGTGGCGGCTGTCTGGTGACCAATTAACCCTTGTCACACTTGCAGCATGATACTGCCAACCAAAATCCATTGACTAAAAGACAACGGGAAAAAAAAATGGTTTTAGTACAGTATTATGTTAATGGTATGAGCTACCACATACCAGAGGTCTCTCCATTCAGGAGTGACCTCTTCTAACACTACAAATAGCCCCTAGAAATTTGACATGATTGGCGGACAAGAATGAAACAGTCTATTAATATGCAATATCAACAAATAGTAAGGATTATAATATTATTAAGATATTATCAAGAACTGATAATTTACTATCCGAATTAACTATTGGTTACATTTTGATATATATATATACAGTATATATATATTTAATTTACTATCAATAGGCATTATTCATCATACTTTAATTTTTTCTAATTACTATTAACTCTTACTTTATATGACTCATCAACCTTCCATACACAGACATTTTTTCCTGAGGTGACCCCAGCAAGGTAGACGCCATCAGGGGAATAGCACACATCATTAACAGCAGTCACAGCATTCAGTTCATTGCTCTTCACTAATGTGTCACCATCTACTGTGTAGATGAATATTTTGCCATCCTGAAAATAGTAAAATGATGATGAAGAAAATACTATTTGCGATAGTAAGAAGATGAAAATGATAGCATTAACATATGCAGGGACAATGCAATGTTGATGATGTTCATCATGTTGATAATGAATGCTGGCTAACTTGGGAGGGGGGAAGGGGCGGGGGCACGGGGGATAGGAGGGTCTGCAGTCCCCAGTTGGGGAGGCTTTTCTTTTAAAATACAATAATTTCTATGTTCTGGTTTAATTTTATGTTACTTTAAAATGAGAAAGTTAACTTCAAAAATGGTTTTTATTATTTATTTTGTATCTTTCATGGGACAATACATCTTTAATCATAATGATCGCCCATATTTTTTTTAATCAAACTTACCTCCCTTCCCACAGCAGCTTCTGTCTTCCCTGGGTGAACAGTTGCAGACAGAGATTCACATTTGCATGCCTCACTGAAAACTTTCTTCCCATTTCGCAATAATGTTACCTGAATCAAAGACAGTATTGAATTGTGTTATTATGTGGAATCAAACAAACGGATTAGAAAGAAGATCAATGTTCAGGAGTAGCTAGGAATTGAGTGAGAATGAAAAAGGCATTCAAATGAAAGACTTGATAACATGACAATATCCCTTACCTCTTTCGCAGTTGCAATCACAGTCAAGTCACCAACAACATCTAGTCCTTTAGGAATGCCGTTTGTTCCAAAAGATTCATCCCTACATTAACACACCAAATTAATGTAATTATTGTCATAATCATTATTTTTTTCATTAGTTGGTAATCTAAAAAATTATTATTATTATTAATAGTAATAACAGGGCTAAAAGTCATGGTTATAAGGCATTAAATTGATCATGGGTTATTTAGACTTGGGTAACAATTTTTTGCTTTATCATGATTATCACCATTTTAATTACTACAACTACCATTAACATTACTATTATCACCAATTTAATTACTGTCATTACCATCAGAAAATGCCTTTAGGAAAGGTCTCAATATAGCAACCACAAATTAATTGCTTTGTTTAAAATAGCAAGTATATAAATGTGTAAATATTCTTAAAGAAAAGCGTATGACATGTTCATGATTAGATCTCAATAGCTTGGTGGTTAAGATGCTTGCAGATACAAGTTATGCTGCAGATACAAGGTCTAAGACGCTAAGTTTATACTCCATAGTGTAATTGAGAGCATAGATACTGTTTTAAGCTGGATGTGATAAAATATAAAAAAGTTAGGTGTGTAGTAACTATATGCTTACGAAAATGTCTTGCTAACAGCATCAAAGCTCTTGACTGTGTCATCCATGGCCGCTGTGAAAACCTTATCCTCAACAGTGACCATGCGATTGACTTGATTTTTGTGCTTACTTTCAACCACTTCACAATCTCCTGATTCTCGGTTCCAAGATCGTGGACTATGTTAAGGAAAGAAGCTACAGGACTGACAGGAATGGAAAAAATATATGGTTGCAAACAGCTTGTTAGATTAAATATGAACCCATAAAATGTTAAACTTATAGCTTTTCATCATAAGACTCTGCATAATGTAGCATGACTATATGTTTTAATTACAATTTACCGTTTACTTTTAGATCTCCAAGCTACCGTTATTGAATGAAATATTCCAAAATGTGTTAGACATTCCCTCCGGCACTGCAAGCAATTTAAGTTGTACATTTGGTTTTAATATACAATAGTTTTGAAATTCCTAAATAGAAGATTAATGACTTGGATTAGATTATGATGGAGCGGTTATTGTGTTTTTCAACTTAAAGTTAGGTTGTGTATCATATATTAAATATATATTTATGGATCAAAGAGGACTTTGACATGCTCTCTAGAGGGAGCCATCCTTAGCATAATCTAGTAAAGGTACATACTCTTCTGAAAGATGCAATGGGTTCGTTTAAATGCACAACAGCCTGATAGATACACTGGATCTCCCATTTTTAAGCCATTACCCAAGAAGACTTGGTTCTGCCAACCGAAATCAGGGCGACGTGCGGCTCGAACCAGTGCTGATGTTAAGGCTGTAGTTAGCGGCGCCCCTGCCTTACTGTTTGGCCACTCGACTCTCGGTAAAATAAAAGGATATTAATATTGGCATCAAAACTTGCAGAGAAGAGAGTTGACTTGTCTTGTGATGGGGTTATCGATGTAATAGTTTTTTGGTGTCCCTGAAAGTTAGGAGAATCAAATATTATTAACAAACATTAATAGAATTAAACACCTTTGATCCCTTATCATTGGGTCTACATGCTATATGTTTCAGCCATGTAAACACAGTAGCAGGCAACCCCACCAGCTACTCATTTATACTCCTGGGGGGAGAGAAGCAATTGCAGTCAAGTGCCTTGACACAAGAAAATTGCACAGTGAGTGTTTAAAAGGCTGGGAAATCAAACTTACCCTGAGCGTACGGATGACTTTGGACGGGCTAGAGAAATCTAGGTAGGATATCTCACCAGAATAAGCGACAGAGAGGATATGTTTACCCTGCCAGAGGCAGCCTAGCTGTTGTTGTTGAATATCATTTCCAAAACAATGCTCTCTGATAAGAGAAATATAAGTAAATTAACATACACATTACTATCTTGATCAGCAACAGTCTTTATGTTATGAATCAGTACAACCAAACACATGAATAGGTAGATAAATGGATAGACAGATGGATAAGCAGGTGGAATAATAGATAGATAGATAGGTAGATAAATATGTAAACGGATCAATAGATCTGGATCCAATTAGGTAGATAGATAAATCAATTATGTTGATTGATTGACTAATTGATTGATTGATTGATTGATTGATTGATTGATTGATTGATTGATTGATTGATTGATTGAATGAAACCACATACAAAAAAAAAGGGAGACTTACGCAATCAACTTATTTTCTTGTACATCCCATAATTTTGCTGTTTTGTCTGCTGACACTGTAAGCAGTTGAGTATTGTCAGGACTCCAAGCAAGCTACCAAGGTAATGATATGAATAATGTAAAAATGTATAAATTGTCTACCTACCCAGTTATGCATAAAATTTTAAAAAGATAATAAATAAAAATAAAATAGAAATGGGAAATTATGGTGTCAGTAGAGTAAAAACAGAAGGGTCCCAAGTTGAAAAAAGCCATTTCCGGAACATCTAGTTAAATGAGCTTTTTTAACATATTTAATTTTATTTTGCTTTGTACCCATCTGCACTGACTTTTGGGAAATAATTGATAACAATGTAGTAAAACATGAAAATATTGTATATTTGCAGAAGAGCAATTTTCTGGGAGATTCTTGCTTGCTCATGGAAATCAGGAAGGCCTTCTCAATTTCCGAGACACTCCAGAAACTTGGGGGAGACTTAGAAACCCTGAAAACATACAAGCAGATCGCATAGATTTTATTCATTGGCATAATGAGACCCACTATAGTGACTTAAAGTCTATTGTTTTTATTATGCCATAGGTACTTAATTCCAAATATAATAAATTTATTTTTAATTTGATGCTGTCAAGATATGTACTGGGGTCACTTTGACATTGCTGTGGGAAAAATGCAGAATTCTACTGTAGAATTCAACCCAACAAAGTCTTTCCATTTTATGTTTGTATTCTGTAAATTGAAAGAATTTATTAAATAAATATTAAATATTTGAGAGCATAATATTTGGCCTTTGTTAATGCTTCACAATCAATGAAATGTAGACACCCCAACTAGAAATCTTTACTACTGTACTTACAGACATTACTCCACCAGCATGGATAGCATCTCCCCCACCAAGGGCATGCACCAGGGTACCCTCCTTGCCATCATAAAGGAAGACCTGAAATCAAGCAATAAAAAATATTTTATCAACCATTTTATACTCCTATAGTAGGTTCACCAGGACTTTTTAAAAAGAAACAATTGCAATAAAATTTAATCGAAAATTTTTAAGTCATACAGTATCTAGTCATCTTGTTTATATGTGATCATTAAGCTGGGCATGCTCAGCATTGACATTTGTCGGCCAACATAACAAAGCACACATCTGATCATTTTTAATAACGATTTGTTCAGACTTCCACTGACAGTCAGCAGACAGCGTTGTGTCAGCAAGCGCTCAAAGAAAGCGGAGATAGATTAGAATGGATTTCTTCGGTGTGATACACGCCAAGGATAACCCACGAAAGTCCTGCGACTTATTTCCAGTGGGGTCCTTCCGGTCATTCAGTTTACAGGGACACAATCCCATTACTCTTTTCCGAAGAGTATACTGCGTTCTTTAACGTGCACCTGGGCCATTTTGCACACAGGATGAATGGCTTAAACGTCTCATCAGAAAGACGGTGCACATTTAAATCGTGCATTTCAGCCCTGTAGCTAAATCACAATGAGAGCAGCGACAGGAATTGCACGGGGGACCAAGAGATCTCTACAGTTCACCGCACACATAGTGGCTACTACCAGTTTAGACGACTGAGCTAGCTGAGATTTGTTATACAGTACCTTACAGTCTGAGGAACCAGTAGCAAAGTGATTACCATCTGATGAAAACCTGACAATATTCACAAATCTTGCATGATCCTAAAAAAGTAAAAAGTCTTGTAAACTCAATTGGTCTTAGGCTACTGAAGCCTCCAATACGAAGAATCAACAGTGAAGTCAAATTAAAGTCTGAACTAATACTTATTCATTATTTGTTAAAACAAATTTAGCTGGTGTGTGTATATCTGTATACATATCTGTATATAAAGGTTAAAGGTTATCCGGAGACCTATGACCTATAGGTCTCCGTGGTCTAATGGGTATGATGCACACCTTGATAGCGAGAGGTTGCAGGTTTAAATCCTACCAGACACAGTTACAACTACAGACATGATAGGAAAATGTCTATTTGCCGAGAAGCAGGCAGTAGACACAAAAAACCCAGATGAAATTAAAGAATAAAGAAAATATCCTGATGTAAAATAAATTATTTAAAAAGATCTTGCTGCATGTTCACACAGAAATAACTTACATTCAGGGTAGATTTATATTTGAATGGTGGTCCTTCGAAGAAGCAAGCAGTTTTATCATCCGAGCCAGTAACAATCCTAAAAGGTCGAGTTGGTCGGTAAGCAACAGAATTTGCTATCATCTGATGACCAAACAATTTTCCTACTGACGTACCAGTGTCAGCCATAAAAGCTTCGGCAAAACTAGGATCATAAATAATAAATGAAAACAAGGTTACGTTATTCAAAACTAGCATTGCATTAATACCCACTACTACTTAGGGTTTCAACACCTGCCACTAAGCGCAACCTTGGTAGTCTAGTGGTTATGATACCAAGCTAGTTATCTGGAGGTTGTGGGTTCGATTACCACCAAATCACTTGTGAAATTTCTTTTGTATTTGGGAACGTACTGAGCATTCAGTATGATAACATGTCAGGTAGAGCGAAACATCATTCCTATAGAATATGTTATTCATATAAAACATAAAGAGCAAAGGATTGCCTGCAGTAGGAAGGAAGAAAGAGTATTTTTGGTGTAAAATACACCAAGAATAGCCCATTTTGTGGGACCTTAGCAACAATATCCAAGGGGTGTGGCTTAGTGGGAAAGTCCTCTGAAATTAAACCTGGGACCATAGATCTCAAAAGCTCTCACAGTTCAGCGCACACGGAGTGGCTATCAACAGTTCAGCTGACTGACCTAAGCTGGTGCACTACTAAACAGGTATATTGTACTTACGACTGTCTTCCAGCACCGGATATGGCCAACCGTTTGCTATCTGGCGACCATGCAATGTCAGTGATTGGTCCCGCAATTGGTTGGTACTCATATTTCAAAATGTGCTCCTTTTGAGTGGTGTCCCAAATACGTACTTTACCTAATACATCTGTTTTATAG